TTAATACATACGAATGTACAGGAGGGGAAAGGGCTTCCCTCCGCCGCTGTGCAAAGAGCACTTGGCCAGCTCTACTGCAGGGTTACCTTCTTCTCACTCTTCTGCTGCAGTTAGCCGTGAAGGAAGCACAGAGAGGGCAAAATCAGGACTGGTCTCATCATCCTCCAGCCGTGGAGTGGCTGAGCACAAGCTAGGCTGAGACATTTGACAAGGCGAAGAAATGGCTTTTGATTTTAAGATTCAAAAAAGTTGCCCCTTAGGGTGATTGATCTGCATAGTTTCCCTGCCTGAGAAGGATGAACGCCTTCAGTGCGGGTTTCAGTTTGAATGCTCTTGTCAGGGGCTCAGCCATCTCCTCCCTAACATGACGGGTGTTTGTGCAGAGAAGTTCTCTTGGCCCAGGAGGAGCAGATTCCAAATTCACAGCTATTGCTGCTTTTGCCAATGGCAGAATCCACTTCTGAGCAGAATTATTTTTATGAGCAGGGACTGATTTCACTGATTTCAGCCAAGCATGGCTGATGTTTTGGAGGGTGTGAGAGACCAGCTTGTGCTGTGTTACAGTCTACCTTGAGTTAAGATTGTTTTATGCCTTTTTGAATGATGTGATAAACTCCAGTGTAATCAAAGTTCAGAGTCAGTAATTTTCTCTCTTTAGTACTGTCAAATATTGTCAAAAAAATGAACAATTCCCTGGTGGCTTCTGTTTTTACTGCATTTTTTTTTCTGGGACCAAGACATCACAGAATGTGATTTTTCTCTTGATTCACAGACTGTGAACTTTCTCTTGGTTTACAGAATGTGAAAATTCTAGGGCAAAAAAAATACTCAAAAATAACTAATTTGGGGACACTAAAACTGTGCTCTTGTGGATATTATTTTTCCCAGAACAATGCACTTGGCAGAAAATAAATATAATGGAGCCATACAGCTAGGCAGCCTAACTCATCAGCTCACATTCATTCAGATAAATTGTTTCAGAATTAGATACTTCTGCTTAGAAATAGTTTCTGCAGGTTTACTATCTGTAGTTACTTTGGCCAAACCATAAATTACTTACACTAAGTGGTATGCCAAATGTAATTCAAGGTTTATGTGTTCTCTCCTGATGCTCCAGGCGTGGCTGGTAGAGGCAGCTGGAAAAGCTTGTCCGTAGGCATTTTTAGCCCAGTAAATTTGGCAGTGGGGCAGTTGTGCACCGTCAGCTGATAAGTGCCTGCTTGTGTTCTTCTAAGGCCACTTCTCTGGACACGATTTTATCCCACAACAGCAGACTTCAAGTATTTTTCATACTGACTATAGAACTGCTTTTCCAGAGGTCCTGCCCACCTTCAGCTTCAGGATCCATTTCCATTCCACTTCTCTATTAGCCTTTTGTTCAAACTGTTTGACCTCTCTGTCTGAGCTTTATATAGTGATCCGGTGTCAAATCACAGATCGTATGACCTTGTCTGCACTGCAGTGCTGCAGACCATGCAAGGGAATGTGTGCTTTTACCCTGAACTCTACTGCTGGCCTGAAAGCCGTCTAGACTGGCTGGCCCCTGTTAATGGTGAAGGTTCCCTATTACACTGCTGTACGTAACCTCTCCTGCAGAGAAGTTAAAAACCGTGTAAAACAACATCAGGGCCCCAATTGCATAAATCTGTGACAATCCTCTGACTTAGCTGGACTTTATTATATTTGCTTGCATGAAAAGTGCATCTGGACCAGCAGTTTAAGGTGATTAAATAAAACTGCCACAGATAAATCCGTTAACGTCTTCATAGCAAGAGCAGTGACGCCGTTGTCACATTGAAGTTGGTAGACCTTTTGACCTACCAATACCAAGAATAATGGTGGACGCATTCCAGCTCTGCTTATTCTAAATGATAATATATTCATTTTTTAAAAAATAATATATACATCTACTGAAAAACTGAAAAAAACCCATATATCTGCTTTTATTTGCTGGCCTAAAGAGTTGTGTTCCCAAAAAACATGTGGGCTGTTCCAGAATTCAGTGCCAGGGTAAGCTTATCTAGTCAATAGTTAATCCGCTGCTAAAGAGAGGTGGAGAGAAAACAAGTTAAATGAGCATTCAGTTGAAAAAGGACATGGGCATTATCTGGTTCATTTTCTAAAATCAGAAGAAGCATCAGTCTTCTGTGCCCACCTGAGTTTAATTACTCACCCTTGTTATCTCTCTGTTCGTGTATTTGATAGAAGTAGAAACTTGGTCTCCAAGTTGGTCTCCAAGGCACCACCAGCATCCACATTACTGGTTGCAAGACCAGGTATTAAAGAAAAGATAATGCCAGGTAGAATACTCTTTGTCAGGAGTTATTAATTGTCGCAGTCAACGGAGCTTGTAACGTTTCAGTTTGCCTTCCAGTAAATAATTCTTGCAGCACGAAAGATTGCTCTGAGTGTACAAGGGCATTTTTTATGGGTTCGTTGGTTTACTGAGGGCTTAGTCATGTAGCTCCATTTGATTTTAATGGGAAGTGCATGACTAAATTCCATTTTGTATGCTATCTTTTACAAATGCTTGGAAAAACAAGGCTATTATCTCTAAGTGGGTTTCACAAATGGAGACCTGATCTTCTCCTTGGCTTCACGCTGCAGTTGCATTAATGCAACCACAGGTTTTAATGAACATGGCAATTTGTTTATGAGCCCTTTCAAAAATGACATTGTTGAGTTCCTGTTGCAGCTCTTTCTGATGCCAATGTGCCAGGAAACAGGAATGACTGTGCTAATTGCCGTCGGTACATGCGCTGGTTACAATTCCCCTGCAGTGCTTCAGTTTTCTATAGCTGCTGTGGTGCCTGCATATAGCTTTTGACTCTTCTTATTTAGTGAAACACACTTTGAGATGATTTGAGAGCTAGGGCAGATGTTGCAAAAGTAGAACTGTTACTTTTGTCAGCACCAGGCATTGGTTTTGATTTGAAAGAGAGGATACCTTGCCAGACCTTGCCTCCTTCCAATAACTTGGTCAGGCCACTCAGTGGCAGAGCATACTATGCTTTTGCCATGTATTTCTTTCTCGCTTCCTCCCCAGCTGCCTGGTCATATGCTGCTTCCATGTTGTCCTGCATCAGCTGTACAAAGCAAAGGCTCAGATGTGCCTGGTGGATGGAGCAGAAAGTGCAATCAAAAAGGATGGGCTTTGAGCTCTGACAGTGGAGAGCTGTGGAGAGACGATGTGAAGTCCTGATTGTCTGATCTGGTGGAAAATCAGATCCCTTTCAAGGGCATGGAGTTTGCTGTGACTTCAAGAGGTGTTCATACCAAACATCATTGCTTTAAATTGTTGTGCAGTGACCAGAGCTGCGTAAGAGAATACCAAATCTTAATGTATTGAGAAATACACACAGTAACGTGTCTTCCCATTACATTTGTTACAAATGATTTCTAGTAAAGCACATTTTATTTTCAAACAAAGCACTGATGTAATACCTGCAACTGGGCTAAAAGGAAGAAAGTTTGTGTAAATATGAGGATAAAAGCCAAGTATGGCTTCTTTCTCTATAATGCAGTCCCAGCTCCCAGTTAGGGTTTGTATCCTCGTCCCACAGAGCCATGTGGGGCTGGGCAGTGCCTCTGCCTGTGTGAGCTGCCTGCCTTGGAGCTGGGCTACTAAGTGCTTGCAGGGAGCTGCCAGCTCTTTGCTGTCCTGTGTGAATGAGGGAGAGCAATGGGATGCTGAGTAGAAGATGCTGAGGCAGGAGGTAAGCACAAAACTTCAGCAGCCTGAAGAAGTGAGTTGTGCTCTTTTCAGGGCCAGTGCAATTGACTTCCCTCCAGGAGCAAGAGTGAAGCAGTGAAGGAGTGATGATTTAGTGAATTTCAATTAGGTCTCCTCTTAGAGGAACCCTTGTGCCTTCCAACATACCAAGGCTCCATCTCAAGGCACACTCTAGTCCTAAGGAAACAAGAGATTACAACCTTCTGAAAGCCTGGCCTTAGCAAATATATTTCATCTTGCATTTCCTGATGTCAGTCTGTAATATCTGTTTAATAAGGATAATTAACTGGGCATTGGCAATCTGGTAGTTTCCAAGTTTCAGTCTGCCTGAGGGGCAGACCCATGAAGAGAGTGTCTAGTGTCTAACCTGCAGGACTCTCATGATGAGACCTGTCTGGTCACTCCGCACTGTCTTTGCATGGAAAAGTAATGCTGGATTTGGGCTTGCCATGGCCTGAGAAGCAGAGCAATATGGTTTCTGTCATTCCAGCTGGGCTTCCAGGGGTAGCTGTGACAGGGCTGCTTCTGTTACACTACTGCAGTTCTGGGTCTGCTGTTTCCTTCCCCTCCTGGAAGTCCATTGGGAAGCCTCCGGTTTGATTTAGAGATCTCAGGTGCCAGCTGAGGGAAGAGTAGGTTAGGTCTTCAGTGTGGACGTACAAAAGACATATTCCATGTGTCTCACCAGTCAAAAGTTAGAGGAGAGATGTTTTCCAGCTTTTCCAGAAATATTCACTCTTTTGTTGGGTCAGACCATGGGAAACTGGAGCCCCAAAGGGACAGTACTATGTAGCCTGAAAATGCAAATTTGCCTTTGAAGTCCTGGTATGTCTCAGATTTGTTAGGATCTTCCACAGATAAAGAATTCAGGCTTTGATGAAAAAAAATGCCATTTTGGAAAGCACTTGGGGATTTTTCAGCATGACAGATGCTACTGTGTAAGTGTAAGACTATTATCTCCTTATATATGTGGGTAGCTGTGTTATAAAAAGGTATTTTGACTTACGAAGTCACTGCAATAAAGTGGAATGTGCAGACACAATACTTTACTGCCCCCACATGCATACTTCACCTTTATTGTCTTATTACAATTAAAATCTTAACTATTCTTTTCTAGCACAAATACTCTGTGTGTGTAAGAATACGTGCGACAGCAAGTAGGCCTTTTAGCACATTATTAATCATCAAAAACAAGGATTAGTAAGAAAGACATTTGCATTTTATCTCTAATTTTTTCCTTTCACCCCCTTCCTTTTTTTCCTTGCAGGCACAGCTGTCTCAGGCTTTAAATGGTGTTTCAGATAAAGCAAAGGAAGCTAAAGAATTTTTGGTTCAACTGAAAAATTTATTGCAGCAGATCCAGGTAACTGTAGAGTATTAGCTGTTTTGATAATACAGTAATCAATAGAATTGAGTGAATAATTTATTTGATGACTTTGTCTCCTGTGCTATTCTCGTCTTTCCAGGAATCATCTGACCTTTCTTGAATGGATTTGCTAGGCAAAATTATTCATCAAATAATGCCTGCAAGCCCTTCTTAGCTTCTAGATTGTTTGCTGCTTATTGCGAGAAGCTGATAGTCAATACTGGACATCTGAGCTGTGTTGATTAGTATTTGATTGAATCCATCGGTCATGCTTTGGGCTCCTTCCTGACTGCAATTGCTTGAACTGGACATTTAGGATAAGTTCTCATTTTAACACATTCAGAATTTACTGCTTGGTTTTCATCTTATGTTTTCTAAAAATGTACTCATTTTTGGGAGAAATCCAGTCAATCTGTTTATTGTAGTATTTGTAGGAAGTAAAAAAAAAAAAGGCAAAAATGTTGCTAAATCAATGTGGTCATTTATTGAAGTGGAAGATATTCTAATGCCTATAATTGCCTGGCTTTAATAGTCAGAAAAGGGCTCATGGTGAGTGCGGTAATTGAGGGTAGAAACCCAAAATGCAACTAGTCCCATTTTCAACCAAATTTAGACTCATCAGTGCTGGAGGTCAGATGATTCTCAAGGTCCTTCTCACCCTGGCAGAGTGTGACTGGAAATGTGCCGCTGTAGTTGGAGCTGCACCATGCCCAGGAGCGCACACTTGTCCACAGCAGTGGTCCTCTGCACTGGTGGGTTTTCTGTGGGATATACATTGTCTGCTCGATGATAATCCATATTGCTCCTTGCTCATCTCCTTTCAACAAGCAAGTTCTGTGCCTGTTTGTAGCAGAAAGCCAAAGCAGAAGTTCAAAAATCTGTCTTTAGTTTAGAATTTAATCATTAAAATACTCCATTTGATGCTCCACTTAATGAATTCATACCACAAATGCTGACCAAGTTCTCAGGTTGCCGCAGGGCAGCGTAGCTACCCGTCCTCACAGTCTTCTGTGGCCACGCAGGGAAGGGAACAAACCAAGACTGAGAAACCAGGTAAAAACCCAAAACACATCTAACAGAAGGAAACTGTGCAAAGCCACTGACTGGCACCTGTCACATGTCATGTTTTGGACATGGTGTGAAGTTTCTCTCAGTTGGCTTTACCTATTTAAAAGTTATGTAGCTCATCTAACCTAGTCATTTAGGCTTCATTCATTGTCCAAGGAGAAGGACAGGCACCTCTAGAGAGCAGTTCTTCCTACACGTATCAACAGCTATTTTAGAATGGGATAACTCATCCAAAACAGTAGTCTATCACTAATTTTTTCTTGAGTCATCTAGCTCCATTAAAAATGTATTTTTCCCTCCTGAAACCGAAAGGTGGCCTATTACAACTATTTATGACTATGCTGTAAAATTCTTTAATGTGTTTCAGTAAAATCGCTGCCAAATTGCTCTGCATAAGGGAGCTGCTACAATTAGATCAAAAGACAATTAGATCATTTATTTGATGCTGCTCGTTGCTTGAAATGCTAGAGGAGAACTCAGAAGAGGAAATTGTATTCAGCAGCAATCACCCTTTAACATTTAGGCATGTCTGGGTTCAAGACTGGATCTGACCCTCGCATACGTTGAACCAGTTGCCATCCCATGTCTGAGCAATGACATCATATTTCAGCAAACCAAAACAGCAGGACTAATCAGCTGCATATGCATTCCCAAGTAAAACAAGGCTAGGGCACAACTCGAGGATGGTCACCTACACACTGTAACCCTCAAGGAGCTCCCCGGAACGGTTTTCTTCCATGACAAATTGCACTCTTGCCAGGTCATACTCAAGCAGCATTTGATGATAGCACATTCCAGGGAACACTCCTGCTAGGCAAGTTTGGTACAGCCATGCTATTTGAAAAGAAAGGGCTGAGATGTGTCATGAGCTGATCTGTGCCTTTTAGCATCTAGACCAAGAAAACTGTTATTTGTGGGGGGAATAGAAGTAGCCTTCATGCGTAGATTTATACCAAGAACCATGTATCTCAGAGTAGGTTATTTCTAATAGAAATCTTATGGTGGCTGCCACACACATAAACATACATTTACCCCATAGGTAAAATATCTTTAAAATGTATGCTTACACAAAGGCGTGAGCAGTATGTACATTTTATTATCCTGTCTCAATGCACGGCACACCAGAGAGCCATCTGCGCTCTTCATCTCCTCTCTGAATTTGCTGGAGTTACTGGGAGCTGGGCTTTTATCTTGCCTGGGGCAGTTCTCAAATTCATAATCTACTTCTCTTTTTAATGCTTTGCAGATCTGTTGTTCCCCCTCTTTTTTTCTTCCCTTCTGCTTTCTGAGATCACATGTAAATCTCTTGGTCTCTTCTTTTCAGAAACCGCCTGTTCCTCATTACCCCTTGCTCCTCCTTGTTGCTGTCATTATCTGATTTTCACATTTTCCCATCTGCTGTAACAATTTCATCCTTTCCCACTTGAAAGAGGCATATCGCCAAACGCCCTGTTCAATGTGTGAACAGAAAATAGAGAAAGGGTGTACTACAGCCATCGACCGATTCAGGCTCTGTACACAAACCAGCGCTTCAAGAGGAGCTGGATGGAGATGGGCGGAAGGCGGAGTCAGGTGTGATACAAGCCGAGGAGGGAGAGTTGCAAACAGGAAGACTCTAAGACAAACTTGTGAACAGTAACTGGGCTGTCTGGTGTCTCTCCCCCCACCCATCTTGCTGATAGGTCTAGGACTGCGATGGGGAGACTCTCAGGGAAGAGCAGCCTCGCATCCCTCCGTTCGAGAATGGGATGCATGGATCGCAGTGAGGGAGGGGAATACAGTGCAGGAAATTTTGTTCTCAAAAGAATGAGGATGAAGCAAATTAGCAGAAAAGAAGAGAAAATTGTAGATAAAAGAGCTAACAGATAGTAGTGAGTTAGGGGCGTGTGATAGCTTACCACAGAGATGTTTTAGCATGTTTAAAATCTTCTCACATTTAATGCTTCTAGTTGTTCTTTTTTTCTTTTTGTTTTGGGTATTTGGGACAACTGAACATCTCCTCAAATGTGGAGCTTGAAACCTGTTTCCTTCTTCTAGTCTAGAGGAAGGGAGGGAGAGCCTCCCTTCAAATGGCTGCTACAGCATCAGTTCCAAGGCCAGAGAAAGCTGTCCCCAGGAGGAGGGGCAGCTCAGAACCTTGTAGTACCATATTCTCAGATTTCTGAGGTTCTACAGTAACATGGATGGTTCCCCATTGACAGGATAGGGGTTTATGTAATGTTAAGTGATGCTCAGACCCTGCTCAAGGCTCACTGTTCTATACCTCATATGCTGGCCTCTGCCTAGCAGAGAGTTTTACCACAATGTGAGTAAAAAACTACCGTATTGTGTGGTTTTTTTAAGCTAATCAAATGCATGCCTTCACTGCCAAGTGCTAGATACTTCTACAATAGTACTTGAAGCAATACATAGATCTCAGGGCTTTGTATCTGATCAATTTCCTTGTAACAAGCCTGTAGACGAGATCCTGGTCCACAATTCTGTTCCAGTTGCCATGGTCTAGAGCCAATGATTTCAAAGTTACTAGAGTGGGATAATTAGAACAGAATGGAGCAGAATCCTCTTATGTATATGTATGCACTGTGCATGTTAGGTTTAGCTTTTACATTATGTTGTACTGCATCTGTTGTCCAGAAAGTGCCAGTAAATCAAGGTTTTAAATAAGCCCATTTGTGGCATAGCATCTTACTGTTTTGTTTTATAGCATGCAGCTATTACCAGTACAGCTGTAATGAAATCAGAAAGGCAACAGAAATGATGAGGTCTTGAAGGGAAGTCTTTTCTGAATAGAAAAACAGGTAAGAATGAGCAATAGCTTAAGCTGTAAAATGAGTATGACTCTAACCTTCTTCTAGGAGAACGGGTTGGATTATGAAGCCTGTCTTGTTGCTCAGTGTGATGCCTTGGTGGATGCATTAACACGACAGAAGGCAAAACTGCTCACAAAGGTGACCAAAGAACGTGAGCACAAGCTGAAGGTGAGCACAATTCTCACTAGCTGACCATGGCTGCTGACACCTGGTGTCATTGTGCATTTTGCAAGTCCTCAGCCCTTTACACCATGAAAATTCCTAGTGACCAAATCATAAAGTCCTTTAGCAGGTTGCCATTCAGCAGTTTAGTGGAACTGTGTGTATACACTTAAAATGAGGCATATACTTTAGCAGTTTGTTGAATCAGGCCATCAGTCTTTGTTTGTCTGATGGTTTGGGGCTATATTTTGGGAGGCGCTTATCAGTGAAAGCTGTATGTGGTTTGAATTCTGTGACCTTCTGCCCAAGGGATGTTGGGATTTTGGTGTCTCTTAAAATCTTTGAAATTCAGACAAACCACCTCCAGAAATCCATGTGCCACTCAAAAGATGATAAAGAAATGCAATAAAGGGGGAGTGGTGAGGAGAAAGCTATAAATGGTTGAACAAAGTGGCAGTCGAGAAAAATAGACACATTTCTTGAAACGTTGAACTGCGTATGTGATTTTGAGGTATTACAGTGCCAGTAACATTAATAGTATCTAAGACAGAAGGAAAAATGAAGTGAAATATCTAGCACGACAAACGATGAAGAAAATCTACCTGAGAGCAGTATTTAAAAACCCCATGCTTAACAAGAACCAACACTTTGGACATACTGATAACAGCACAGCTAATCACGCATTTCATTCCTGTTAGGCTATTGTAGCTCAGGAGTTGTGCTGTTGAACACAGTGCCATTAGGCCTAGTCTACAGCCATGTGGCAGCAGAGTCAAGTCAAAAATCTGGAAAAAATGAGGTGCATCTTTTTTATTCCTTAATCTTATTTATGTGTTCTTAGGCAGAACAGGATCCATGGTGCATTGTGAGAAGAATGGTGGTGTATAATCTGCAAGAAAGCACTCCTACTATTATCCTCTATAATATTTGCCTTTAAAGTGAAGGATTTTTTAAAAGCTCATCTCAGTGAAAATGTGTTTGTAAATGTGAATACTGCAAATGCAGAAACATGTTCTGTGCTCTTTCTGCCTGGAGCAAGTCTGATCTTTGAGCAATTAATCTGTTCTGAAAAATTGATATTCCCTGTGCAAAACATTTTGCCAAGCTAATTATCGGTATTTACAGTACAGAGCAACTGAGTGTAGCTGATGGAGATATGGCAATGGCCATATGGCGGCTAAATTAAGCATAGATTTAACACACTTTTCCATTCGTTGTCTTTTCTGAAATAACCTTATACAATTCACTGTAAGATGAGGCAATCATCAGAACGGTACTGATGCTTGTTTTCCAGGTTGTTTGGGACCAAATAAATCACTGTACACTGAAGCTACGCCAGTCAACAGGGCTAATGGAGTACTGTCTGGAAGTTATCAAAGAAAATGATCCCTCTGGGTTTTTGCAGGTATTTTTCTTTCCAATGTTCTGGGGGGAAAAAAATGACTTTAAAGTTAAATCTAAAAATGGACAGCTTTGCTAATTAGCCTCTTCCACCTCTGAGATGGGTTCACCTTAACTCCCATTAGTACTGTCTAAAAGCTCAGGTCGCCTGGTGCCTGCATGAGTGTCCCAGCGGAGGGATGGCTCTGAACAGTCACACTTTGACTGAGGTGTGGAGTTAGTGGTCACACCACTTCCCTGACTGCTGACCTCCTTCCTCTTGCCAGTCCTTCCTTCTGGGCCGAAAGAGAGATGTAATGCAGTTAATGATAACTTTCGGCAGAATATTGTTTTATCTGCAAAACCTAACAAGGGCCTCGCAGAGCTCTCTGATCAGTTTGCAAAGGTCTATGACTCAGCAGAGTAGTACTCCTCCCCTTTGTGCTTCTCCCTTTTGCATTGCTCTTTTCAGTGTGACAGAATCCTTTCAACGTCTCTGCTGGAACAAATTCCAGACTTAAGGGCTTGCATCTAGCTTTGCTTTGCTGGGGTAGTTGCACCTCACAAGGCTACAAGACCGCTCTCGTAGCTGAAGGATCCAGGTACCCGCTCAGCAAAATATGGCTTAGCCAACAATTGCCTTTATTTGCAGGATATTGTTTCTTAGGTGCAAGTAGTGAAAGCATCTCTTGGACTTTATTACCCAATTAATTATTTTGCCTAATTAATTCTATTATTTTATTAATTATTTTATTTTGCCCTATTGGTTTTGTTGACTTACTAATTGCCTAAGAAGAAAGGCACATAAAACAAAACGATGTGCACGTGGCTGCCAGATGAACAGGGCACGCTGCACACGAGTATGTGAGTGACATGGAGCTGTCACAGCATCCCCAAAAAACAAAATGAGAATTATCAAACTTAAACCTATTAGCACTCCAGATTGATTGATACTGTCACATCTGGTCTGAACCAAGAGTGGGGAATGTGTAGTGTGTATTAATCTCAAGACTATACAGATTTTAGCAGGCTGTTGATTGGTAACTGCAGGACAAATGAAACCTTTAGATCTTACCTACCTGCTGGCTAGATATATGCTTCATTTTCATTTCAGCTTACTTTTCCTGTAACCTTTGGGTCTTCATTCTTTGCAGACAACTTTTATATTATTTTATATTATAAATACTTTTGGTTTTACCTTTTCCTGGTTTATCTAATGATGCTTTTGAGGCAACCGGCAAACGCTGAGGCACTTCATTACTTAGAGCAGCTGCTCCTGTGGCCAGGACATTGAAACACAACCAAGGGGTCCAGCGTCCCAGTAAGTGACTCCAAGGTTGTAGGAAGACTATGAGATGCTCCACCACTTACTGCACAGACTGATTAGGAGCTGTTGATGCAGGAGTGTCTCCCAGTAACAGTAATGAGGAAAGACAGGGGAACTCCTGCAATAAAGAAAAACTCTCTCTGACTTATCCAGAAGATTCTGCTCCCTGTGACTTACAGGAAGTTCACTGGGAGAGACTCCAGATATCCAAATGGCAGCTTCACTGAACTGGAGGACAGCTGAGTTCACTGATTTCCACAGAGCCAGGGTTTCACTGCCAGAAAAGTCCACTGCGATCATCTTAGTCTGACTTTTGGCCTAATTGAGTTAGTATCTGTGGGCTAAGCTAGAATAAATCTGTAAAAATCAAACTCTGTTTCAATGTAATGAGAGAAAATACATCATGTTTTTTGAAAAGCTATCTGACAACTTAGCACACTCACTGTGAGAAATACACATCTTCCAATTTGATCTTTTTTTATTTCTTTTGGATTTCATCCACTGAATCATCTCTGCTGAATGGAGAGACCCTTTCAACATTTAAGCCTCTCTTTGTACAACTGGTTTTTAACAAGAGAGCAAAACTAGACTGTGCAGATCAGAGAAGAGAATGCAGAAGTATATGTGGCATTCAGAGGCACGATACGTAACATAATCTTAACAGGCTTTATAAATGCGATTTTTACTTTCCTACCCTAAGATAAGATTTGTTTTGAAAGGGTGAGATGAAAAGATGCGACATAAAATGGACCTCATCCCAAAACGAGCAGATCCTGTCTCAGCTCTGGTGCTGTATCTCATAGGCATTGTGTCACTTTTAATGTATGCATTTGCCATTTCATTATAAGCCTGATACTCTCTTTCAGATTTCAGATGCTTTAATCAAGCGTGTTCAGGTATCTCAGGAACAGTGGGTCAAAGGAGCCTTGGAGCCAAAAGTGTCTGCTGAGTTTGACTTGACTCTGGATAGCGAACCTTTACTGCAGTCGATTCACCAGCTGGATTTTATTCAGATGAAATGTAGGGGTGAGCTTTTATGATTTTCTTTTTTCTGTTTTTTGTGCATGTGTTGGAACAGTGCTGGGAGGGGCAGGGATGTGGAGGGAGGAAAGAAGAATTACTTGAAATTGCTGGATAGTTTTGAAAAGTTTTCAAGCAAATTCAAATTACTGAGTGATTCCTGGAAAGGTGCGGTCACCTCAGATGTGGTGACATGAACAAACTCAGACAGAGATACCAGGTGCAGTTAAAGATTTGAAAAGAGAAATTCTTCAGAGTAGGACCATCTATCAGCTCTGAAGGTTAAAAAGACATTAGCTGTCATTAGCTGATACTAAAAAGACATTAGCTGACATTAACTTTGTGCCATGTTACAGCATTCCTAGGTTTAATTCAAAATACCAATTACCCAATCTTGTCAGGAATAGCTGAAGTAGTAAATAAATATTCATATGCACACATATGCTTGAACAGGAAAAAAAAAGCCATCTTCGTCTTCCATCCAGACTGTGCTGCGAGAAATGCCCAGCTTAAAAAAAATTCACAAGGCAGGTGACAGTAGCTTCATGGCTGTATCCTTCCTTGATTCCAGGTATCTGAATGATTCTGAGGGATACACTAAAGGGAAAAGAGGTTAAGAAAAAAAGGTGTTTAAAAGCAGAAGGTGATGAACAGTAGATGCCATTGGAAAAAAAAAAAATTAAGATCATGCACTTGTAATGAGCTTGGTTTATATGGAGCAGGATGAGAACTGCATCAGAATTAGATAGATACATAGAGCGGGTAGCTTTGAAGGCCATTGTGGTCCCTGGGAATGACACCATTAACTTCCCTCAGTGGTGATTCAAGCCTTAATTATACATTTGGGTGACGGGGTAGAGGCTGCCAGAAGTCAATGAATGAGTTAAGGATAATTGTGTTGTGATGTCGGATGTGCTTTATTTTTTTCACTCCAGGCAAGCATAAAGATTTCTGTTCAGTTTATCTGTTCTCTCTGAGCCTAATTCTGAACCTAAGAGACCCAAGATGAAATAATTAGGGTGGATACTGTGGCAGATAGATGTGTAGAGAAACAATGAATAAACAGTTAAAGGCCAAAGTCTGATGACCAAGAATGGTTTGCGTCTTGGCATAAATCACCTGTGTTTGTTACTCAAAAACCACCTGTGAACTGCTCCTTTGAAATGCTTACAGCTGGGAAAGCAGAGCCAAGAGAAAGTGTCACTGGTAAAACTTCTCAAAGTACTGTCTGCACTTGTCTTTTTAAATCAATTTATATTTGATGCTGACCATATTTATTTTTAAATATATTTAATACTATTCTGCCACCACTCTCCTTCCCAAACATATAAAAAATTTAGTTAAACTATCCATTTAGGTTGCTAATCAACCATAGGTCATTTGAGGTAAGAGCAGCTTAGGTATTTGCCTTTTGGACATTCATCTGGCTTTAGGCTTGAAGACTTACAAGACTTTAACTGAACCAGATTCACTGGAGCTTTTTGAAAGATAATGCTGTCTGCTACAATCTCATTTATCATATGATCCCAGTGAAACCCTGGTACTGAGCTAGACAGTCTGAGTGGCAGAGGAGAGGACAAGATTGCTTCTGCCCAAACCTGTGTGTAATTTATAAATGCCCTTGGGCTTTGCTCCACAGTGGCACCTAGCAGCTCTGAGGAAATGCTTTTCCTTGGGCTGTCTTGACCTTGACCAGGGACAACCTGTTCCATGTTACATCAGGTTGGTCAGGACAAGTGGCACGACCATGTATACATCATGCAAAGAATGGTGGAAATGGCGTTAATGTGGCCACCATCCCTGAAGGTGTGTAAGGGATAGCGTTATTCCTCCTCATGCGCCTGTGTGCTGAAGCAGAACAAGCCACTGACTGGTCCCAGGCTAACATTCATAGGTAGTGGGAATTGTTTAGTATATAAAGGTGTATGTATTGTTTTTTTCAGTTTATGACAGTGGATCTATTTGAGCTGCTCAGTCTGATGGACTTGGGCATTTTTTTCTGAAATTCTACTTCTATGACCTCAACTAGCTCTGCAGTATCTCCTCATACATAGTGGTCTTGCATCCAGAAATACAGTTTCCACAGAGCAAGCAACTTGGCATTTCAACACCTAAACTTACTGGGAACATCACTTTGCTGACTGCGAGAGGAAGCTGATGTTGCAGGGCAATGTTCTGCTATTTATCACCATCAAGACTTGTATATTTCTGACCTTTCCGTTCCACGAAGGAAAATCTACATGTCTCTTCACATCCACTCCTCCTTCTCCCATCCTGCCTACCCCAGTGCACCAAATCATCAATCTTTTTCAGCTGTTGGTGTTGAGGGGAATGTTACTGAGTCACTATACTGGCTGATCTGACAAGAGTAGATGCATTAAAGACATCAGAGATGATCAATAAAGGGAGTTTTGGAGAAACCTGTAGGTTGAGCATGGCTTTTCCAGCTGCAAGTCATTTTGTTCAAGAAGCTTTGCAGTCTAAGGTCTGCACAATCGTCAGCAATGCTTAGTGCATGACTGAATTTCTATATTTTTTTCAAACTCTGGCCTCATTCAACCTCAGTGAGCTTGCTTGGGTCATTTAGAGTGAAAGCATGCTTGTAAGTAAACATTGATTCACTCTGTTAGACGAAGAAGAATGAAAACAAGAGCAAATCACATTACATTTACTTTGACGACTTGTTCATGTACTTTACTGGTGGACTCTCTATAAGCCCATATCTAAAGCTCATCTCAATAAATAAAGATCAGGAGTGTGTGGTTTTTTTCTTTTTACAGAAAGAAAAAGCAATTTGCTAACAAATTAAACGTGCAGAATTGTGATAGGTGCAGAAGTACTGCTTAAGCAGTTGTGTTGACCAAAGGGCCTTAGCGATAGCCCTTTGGCAAGAGTCCCACGCTCCCCAGGCTGGCTGACCTGTAGAGACTCATGCACAGCTCTAGTAATTGCTGGCATTTTGACCTTTCCCAGATCCCTTTCCTCTATCCATGTTTTCTTCTCTCTCTTGCTTTGTCTGAGTGCCTCTGCACAAAATTCCTGTCCTCTCTGATGACTCGCTCAATGTGTACATCACATTGCTGCCGTTCAAGCCATGGGCACAGGCAAATGTGTGTTCTGGGTTTGTTTTTTCAAATACCTGGTACTGTCATGTAATCTTGCTTTGTTGTAAAATGGAGACTAGGTACGAAACAGGAAAAACTATAGCTACTCTCTACTTTTCTTGTACCACCTCTGAATACTCACTCATATGCTTCTTCTTCTTGTCAGGAATGACTCCTTCCCTCTGCTAAAAACCAGTCCGTGAATATTTCCCCCACTCATCTCCTTCTGCAAATCTCTGCTTCTCCAGGCATGAGCTGCACAGCTCTGATAATGAAAGAGTAACCATTTCATCATAGGCTTTATCCCTCGTTCTGTCTGCTCTGTTTCATGGATCCAGGTCTTTGCCTGTGGTCTTTCCTTCTTCCTCGATAACACTGTTGGTAGGGTACTTGCTACAGCAGTGACTCAGACTATCACAGGGCTCTCCTGCAGTTTTGGAGGAGGTCAAAGTTTTCATATTTCTGAAGGTCCTGTTCTTTCACTGCATTTAATCCTTTAAAAATTAATCTGGGAAAGTGGAGGGCATCATTGCACAACTTACTTGTCAAAAGGACAAATAACAGACAATATCTTAAAGCAGCTCTGCTCTAACCTAAGAGGAGACTAGCTGTGAGATATATTGAGCAATGTGTTTTCGAAACTGCTGAGTTGACATGAGACATCAGTATCACATTTTTAAGCTCAGTGTGACCTGCATGAAGCACTTTTAAAATAGCAGGACATCATTCAGACTCATTAATAGGTCTTGCTGTGCCAATGCAGTATAATTTCTCTCTTGATGTTCTAAATCTTTTCCTTCAAAAGCTCTCTCTAGAGGACTTTAAGTTGAACAGGAAGTGGAACAGCAGTGTAATCTAACATCTGAGCCTTTTTTTTTTCCTGACACTTAGCCTATATTTTTCTTTTCTCAATCCCGTCCTGTTGCTCTTCACTATGACTTATATACCAGTGTCCCAATTATTCAATTTGTTTTGCACTTTCCTGTGACTTTCAGAACAAGTGTTCACCTTTTCTCCTCCCAGAGGGAATCTGAGCATCATTCAGCAAAGCTGCACAGCTACTTGGTGGGTGCCTTTTACTTCTCCTTCAGCTACTGTAGGTTGTGCAGTTCGGGCTGCAGCCTGGCCCAAAGGGAGCAGGAGGCTGATGAGAATTGCTCACAAAAACTTAAATGTCCCGTGACATAGTAAAGAGGCCAAGCACTTCCCCATAGTACATGTGACTGCCACACGCAAGGCCAAAAGTCACACTGCCCCTGGGAAGTGGGAATGACAGCTCTTTACAGTATGAAAACATATTCTAATCCTAGATGGCATTCATGTTCTCATAATTAAAAGGGACAGATAAAAGACTTACCTTCCCCCCAAAATTCTGCTTTGTTTTTTTTCAGCATTCTTCATTACGTGAATAGTCCTCGAAAGCCTCTGACTGGTGTTCCTGGGAGATGTTTGCGGGGGGTTGGTTTATTCAGAGGTGAGGGAGCATTGTCTATTTTGCACTTTATAAACTTCATAAATTCGGTTTTGATCCAGTTTTGCCAGAGGGAGTCTCAGAAGTGGGGAGGACCCAGCAAATACCTCCTGAGAGGGTTAACCGCTAAAGCGGCAGGAGTGTGGGTGGCTGATACAGCCCTATCTTCTCCCAGGCTCATCAGTCACTGGCAATACACAGTCTAATAAACCCAGACAAGACCCTAAATGTAAAATGGTTCACTTAAAAAATCTCATTACCTCTGAATTCCTCGTTTTCAGGTTTTTGGCTCTTGTAATGTCACATTCCTGTTACTTCTCCAGACACAGTGTCTCCTAGAGAAAAATCTGAACTTTCCATGTGAAAAAACAAGCAGGTTTTTATTTATGACACCCTCTGAATCATCCTTAAATATCAAGGAATATGAACAAGGCTTCTTCCACTCTTTTCACAAAAAAAACCCCCACCTTCAAGAGCTAATTTATAAAGCTCTTTTGTTTCAGACTACGGTCATTCTTCTGGGCAACGAACCATCTGCGTTCACTGTGGTGATGGATAATGCCAGCGGAAAGCCACAGTAGCTTCTGCCCTGTTTATCACAAGTGTGATGTTGACTTTTGTGTCACTTCCCAAGTGGGAATGAAGCCTTAGCCCCGCCACACTGTCGCGTCCATTTTCTCACAGACTGCTTGGTACAAAAAACGCACAGTCCTCTTTTATCCGAAGAGGTAAAATAGGACAAAAGGAACAGCTCAGGGGCTTAGCTCTCATGCAGATGGAGGAAAATAAACGAGAGGCTCAAAGCAGAGTAGATAAAATACGAGCAAACTGACATTGTTAAGAGCTAAGTCAATGAATGCTCAGAGCACTCAGCAGCTTGTAAAGACACAGTCAAGCTCTGCGGAAGTGATCCTGAATTGTGAAATTCAGCCTTGGGCAGAAGACCAGGCAAGGGTGGTGCATCACTTATATTCCACTTAACCTGTGTGATTTCAACAGTGTGTAAGATACATGCCAGATCTCTCCAGAAGACTACTTTTTCACTTTATAATTTTCAGCAAAGAGTGAACAGTGAGAGTTTAGTTGTGTTTAGTAGAGAAGGTGTGGTGGGGGCCTCTTTCCCGTAGATGTATGGCTAAATGATTTACTCTATTTATTTTTAAGATGCTGGTCTGGTCAACAGCCTCTTGGTATTTCTGCTGAGCAAGTCACTAAAAAGGCTTGTTGGTAGATAACTTCATACCTGTAATTTCCAAGAGAAGAGAGACACAGTCTCCTTTTGCTGTCTAAACCAAGGGATTTAGATAAAATTTTCAAATCACGGGGGGTGAGGTGAGATGTTAGATTAGATTTTAAAAACCTCTGTTGTGAAGACTGGTTTTCCTGTTGTCGGTGGAGTTCAGGCTCTATCTCACTGCTGTGCTGGGAGGAGTGACTGCTCTGCTGGTTAATAACCCAATTCTTCATTAGTGAGCGGGGCTTCCTGGCAGCACTGTGTCTCCCATGCTGCCCCATGGCCCAAGACACCCCCTGCCACCACTGCTCACTCTCTCCTTTTCGGGACAGTGAGTCAAAGTGCTCTGGACTGAGAAAAAACCTCTTCCAGCCAGTGACCCTTGGGAAGGAAACTAGGCATGAGTTCCCCGGATTGTTGTTCTTAGGAGGTACCAGAAACATGTCCAGATTACGGGAGGCCTTACAGCAGCCTTCCATTACTTAATGGGGGCCTAAAACAAAGAAGAGGAGGGACTCTTTATCAGGGAGTATAGTGATAGAATGAGGGGTAATGGCTTCAGACTGAAAGAGGGTAAATTTTGATTAGATATTAGGAAGAAATTCTTCTTCTCTGGGAACAGGTAGCCCAGGGAAGTTGTGGGTGCTCCCTCCCTGACAGTGTTCAAGGCCAGGCTGGATGGGGCTTTGAGCAACCTGGTCTGGTGGGAGGTGTCCCTGCCCATGGCAGGGGGCTTGGAACTAGGTGATTTTTGAGGTCTCCTCCAAACTCAAGCCATTCTATGGTTCTACGATATGTTTCTGTTTAAGTATTTCAGCCAGACGATTACTCTAACTGAGATACAACATTTTGTTACATCACTTTTACAGCCTTTTGTTTCAAGGAAGGGAACGGACCCTCTTCCTAACGAATACTGGACTCCCTTGCAAGAGGAGGGAGGTGAGCGGTCGCTGTACTGCTTGTGGCACAGACTGATGGGGTAGGGCAGAGTTACACTAATCTGTACCCAGTTCCTGTTACAGTGCCGCCCATCCCATTACTGCAGCTGGAGAAGTGTTGCACCAGAAACAACAGTGTGACATTGGCCTGGAGGATGCCACCTTTGAGCCACAACCCGGTGGAGGGTTATATCTTGGAACTTGATGATGGAGATGGTGGCCAATTCCGAGTGAGAATTTCATTCAGCATTTATTTGTGTTCCTTTGTGTGTGAGTTTCCTCAGGATATGAATTTGTGTCTGTCCAAGGGTGCGGAGAGGGGGTAGAGAAGGTACGGGTTGTCAAAACATCCCAGTTTCCGTTGCACAGATGTAGAAAGCGGTGCAGATGCTGCTTATTAAAAGTACCCTCCCAGCTTGGGTAAAAAGTTATTCTCAGGGCTCTAGCAAAGAGGGCCTTGAGTTCCCCCTGGAGTGTGCCTGAGCAGAAAAACCCATACTAGCCTCCAGGAGCTGAAAATGGTTCATTCCACAAAATAGAGATTTCTTTGAAGCCCCTATTCTTGTCTGTCCGTAGCACCCCATCTCAACAGCTGAGATTCTTGGTCCAGAAATGTAACTCAGTTTTTCCTGGGTTTCTGAGTAAAAATGGGATCCTGCATAAAAAATATGGGATATCTAAATCTTTTCTATGGGAGTGGATGAGATCAGGCTAGTGGAAGCTTTCCATAGATATGCTGTGACAGGGTTGGTAAGTACGGCAAGGCATCCTGAATGCTGTCCTTCCAGATCCTCAGGGTGATGCCACAACTGCTTGCTCCTGACTGCAGGTGCAGGGTACTTAAAGGCTCCCATCCCTTCTTGCGACATCCCCATAAACAACCTACAGAAACAATTCAGTCAGCTTTTTGCCAGCCATGTCGCACCGAAAGCTGTGGCCCTTCCTCCCTCATGCTCCTGTTACTCCAGGACCATGCTGACCCAGTGCATTTCCTAGGGTCTAGTGCCTTGAAAGCGTCTGGAGATCATTGTGCAGTATGGCTGCTCTCTTCACAAATGGGAAATTTTGCTGAAAAACATGTGAGGTCTTTTCTTTGGGAGCTGCAAACTGGCTTCTCACTGGAAACATAAAGGTTTCTCAAGATGAAAATGCCCTGGCATGGGTCTACCTAAAGAACTGCCTTCCTGTGCCAAACTATATCTACAGCTAGCAAAGGCACCTGATTTGGATGCCTCTCATTAAAAGAGACAGCGATATTGGCAGGGCATTTTGAAGAATGCACTCGATTTCTGGAAGGTCTCCTTAGTTCCTTGGTCCAAGTATCATTTCACATGGGTTTGAAGGGGCTAGTCTGCACTACTGAAAGTGTGAGAAGGTACCTTTGTGAACATCTACAGGGAACTACCAATATAGCTAATATTAGTATATCAGAGTGGTGATGAATGAAGAGTTAGGAACAAGGTGTTATGAATTCCAGTGTCTGGATAAACCTTTTCAAATGCGGTTCACATCTAAATAAATCCTTATGAATATACAGGATTTCAGGCTGGTGCACATCCAAGCCCGTTTTTTGGTTTTTTTTTAACTGGCAAAGGTTTTAGGACTGTCAGCACTGCAGTGTCAAGATTTTGGATTGAAAAAGATACAAAACCATCTCAAAAAATATAGCACGAAAACTTCTCAGGGGAACACTTTGCTTGCTATAGAAGAAACAGCCTCGGTTTTACCTACTGAAGGATAACCTGCAGGCTTTTCAGCAATGCCTTTTCAGTAAGAATTCGCTAAAAGTTTTCATGAGGGATTATATATCTGAAACCAATGACGCTGGCTGCACTTTACCAGTATTTGATGGGTGAATTTAAAGAGTGGTTTTTGTCTCCCATCATAGCACAGAGCATCAATCTGAATAAACACGATCAGTGAACAGTGGTGAAAATAGGCATTAGATTAGAAAATGTGAGAGCCGTCTTACAAATACATCTTTTTGCACAGACAGCATATGTTATAACATGGAGATAAATTAAGCTATTCTATTAAAATTCCTGTTTCTCTCTGTGCAAGATCATCAGCTAACTCAGGACCCAAGAGATTTTGTTATTCCTAGCAGCCACCATGGTAGCAAAGTGGACAAACACATGGCCTACTGTAAACTTAAGTAATCCCTTTTTTATTCATCACATATTTAATTCACTTTAGGTTCATATCAAAGAGCTTTAATCCGCGGGACTACTCTTAGGCATATACTTAAGTGTCTTAATTAAACTGGGGCCTGAGTGGTCTGCTTAGTCACAGCTTTAAGCTCTTTAGGGCCTTTGCTACCATAAATGTATGGATTTCACAGAATTGAAGAAATGAGAGCTGCAAAGGAATCATGGCTTTCAGCCCACTGCTGAGACAGGATTTCTTCCTTTTCTCTCATTTTCTGTTCAGGTTTTCAGGTTTTTAGTCTTCCTTCAGTTTGTTATAGACTGTATAATCTGACTGATCCTCTTCATTAGTCTGCCTACATGTTCCTCCTCCTGAAATATTTCACATTGCACAAGTGCTTGTTGTTTAATAAATATTTGCAGACTTTTATGTTGTCTCAGTTGTCTAGTTGTTTCATCGTGTGACACATGTGATCCTAATCTTCGGGAGATCAGCTTCTTCTGGCTCTTTGTTTGCAGGTCTCAAAATTATTTTTTAACACAGGCATGAGACAGCCTTTCCAACAGAATATGTCTGTGCTTATTTGTTGTTTTTTTATTCTTCTACACTCTGCTTTTTTGGTCTTACATAAATATAAGAATGGCCATAGTGAGTCAGACACTGAGACTACTATCCAAAATAGTGGTTTGTGGTAGATGTTTAGGAAAAGGGGATAAAACTAAGATCTTTCTGTATTGCCTTGTATTGCTGTACCCTTCCAGATTGATCTTCACCTTAGTGTCTCCACTGATAACTATCCTTGATGTCTCCACTGCTGTGGATGTCCGTGTTATAACAGCGTAACTTTTACATCTTGGGAAGCAAGGAGAAGCTGTTCATTCGTGGCTTATATTTAGAAGTCTAAACATGTGATCACAAGGCACAAAGTAAAAGTTAAACCATGTCCCTCTTTCTCTCAATTTTTTTGGAATGTTTAGGAAGTATATGTTGGCAAGGAGACCCTCTGCACCATTGATGGCCTTCATTTCAACAGTACCTATAATGCAAGAGTCAAAGCTTTCAACTCATCGGGAGTTGGTCCCTACAGCAAGACAGTTATTTTACAGACGTCGGATGGTGAGATGGGTTTTTGCCAGTTTCTAAGTGAAAAGCTGCAGCTCTCAGTGGCAGGACACTTGCATCGCTTTGTACCTGCTAATATTTTTGGCACTTACTGGCAGGAGGATTTTGCATCATCTGAGTGGAGAGGCCAGGAACTGAGTGTGCATGGGGATTGAGCTTTCCTTCTAGCACTTTTGGGGATTTTCCATTATCAGTAACACTTCAGATTTCAAACCATGCACTTTTATTTGGCTGCAGAAGTTTGAGGTCTAATTAAGATTCTTATTTGCCTTTGCACACAGAAGCAGTTATGCAACACAGTATTTTTGGGCAACTTTCTCTCCACTTCTCCATACATTTTGGAATTTGCCTTTTTCTTCATTACTGCTCCAATTTCACAGCAAGATATAGTAATACTGAGATGGGAATTCATGCTTGTTCCTCTGTAATTATACTTGACATCCATACAGGCATTACAAGAAGTTCATCTTCATTAATGATATTGTAATGAATTGAGAAGTGCATGCTGTTATCACTTCCACTTTTATGCTGTGTTGCCAAAATAGGCCATTATAAAATATTTATATTTTAAGAGCTTTTTCTTGGTTTTTTTCCCTTTGGGTTTTTTTTTTTCCCCTCTTCTTCGATAAACTATTGAAGTCAGTCCTAACCAGCATGGACATAGTGGAACTCCATTTGCATTAAAGGCAATCCTGGACCAATTCACCTATGTGAGGAGTTGCTATATCACGGAGGAGCCTTTGTCTCCTTGATGACTTCCTTGTGTGCAAATAGAAAGTCACTGCCCTTAGCAGCTTACGTTCAGAGGAACAAGCACAGATCATATAAGGCACTTCTGAGCTGAAAAGCAGCAGGATACCAGCTCAAAGCAATCTTGTGCAGCTGCCTACAGTAACAAGGAAAGATTGTCTTTATTGTCTTTATTACCTTTACCTGAAAATGCCTTTAGGAAGGCAGAATCTCATTCTCCTGATTGAAGTAAAGCAGACAACACTTGAACACAGTCCATTCTGCCGTAATTCTGCCTTTCCTTTTCCCCTTCCGTAGTGGCGTGGTTCACCTTCGACCCCTCCTCAGCTCACAGGGACATCGTCCTGTCAAATGACAACCAGACTGCCACCTGCAACAGCTACGATGACCGGGTTGTTCTTGGCACAGCAGCCTTCTCCAAGGGTGTGCACTACTGGGAATTGCACGTGGACCGCTATGATAACCATCCGGATCCAGCCTTTGGTATTGCCAGGATTAACGTTGTCAAGGACATGATGCTAGGCAAGGATGACAAGGCCTGGGCTATGTATGTTGACAACAACCGCAGCTGGTTCATGCACTGCAATTCTCACACCAATCGGTAAGTGCCACTTGCTTGCTTTTCTCATTACTGTCGTGGGTTACGGCTAGGCCGGCCACTAACATGGACAGATGCTCTCTAACCCCCTCTTCCCCCCCTCAAATGGGAAGGAAAAGACTTTTGGGTTAGAGAAGAAAAAAAACTAGAACAGCTTTAATGAAACAATAATAGAAATAATAGTGGAGTGATAGAAGTAAAGAACTATGTACAACTATAGATAGTAGCCCGATATCAAACTCCCTCCCCCGATAGCAATCACCACTGGTGCTGCAGAGCAGGAGGCACTGGGGAAGCCCCAGGCTCAGCGGCGGCGGGAGCTGGATGCAGGAGCTGGATTCGGGAACTCAGGATCCAGATCAAAAGCAGGAGGTCAGATGGAGTCCTCTCTGGACACCGGCCATTGCAGAAGAGAGCAAGGAAGAAGGGCAGAAACTCTCGTGATCACTCAATTTATACTAAATATGACATATATGGGATGGAATACTCTCGTTGGTCACCTGTCCTGTCTATTAGCCCCTGGAGGTGCAACCTTTTACTTCCTTGTGACCCCTCTTACTACCTGGCACCCCCAGCGTGGCACACAAGAGCCAGCAGTGGCCTCGGTCACTACAGGAATAAGTATAAGCAAGAGCCTGTCTGCATCCCAGTCCCAGGCAGTAACTGTAAACATCAGGAGTTATCACTGTTAGTAGCACACACTGCAAAAACACGCTGCTAACTTCAGAAAGTGCAGCCTTTTAGAAGAGACTAAACTGGAAAGTAAAAATCACTAAACAGGACTGTTTTTTTAGCTAAACCCAGGACAATTACTCATTATTTTTCCTGCTTTGCATCAGAGGAAGGGGTGTCAGCAAGCCATCCAGCCCATCTCCCTGCTAGACTGAAGCTGTTTGATTCCTTCTTAAAAATCACTGCTATCAGTGATTGCACTTCAGCAATCTATGTTGGTGGTAGGAGGCTTTTTTCTTCCTGAGATCTAGCCCAAATCCCCCCTGCTGTGATGCAGGATCTGAAGTCCCTTGCTTATTTTGGAAAATGGTGTATTTGTATACCTACTCTACCATGATGGGAGATTGATGTATGAATAAAGTGACTGAGCAAGGATACGTAGCAGGTCTGTTGCAGAGCAGGAATCAATTTCAATTTAGTTTTCCACTCACTGTCCCAGCAGGTCTTCCACACTCAGTAGGGCAGATGTTGTTTCGGTTGTACCAAATAATTGAAAGAAAAGCTCACAGTGATTTTTTAAAAGCCCAAAGGCAGGTATTATCTCCTTAAAGAAGTTCACACCAACGTGCACTGTATCCCAAAGCTGGTTGTAATGTCTCCTGTTGATTAGTCATTTATACTTTGAAGCATACTTGTATTTTAAGCAAGTATACTGCAGTTTCTGGGAGTTTTTGTCTGAAGCATAGTTTGGTTTTGCAGTTCATTACAGACGGGTGTAAGAACTTTGTGGCTAGATCAAAAGCTATCGGAAGTCAACTGGAATATTTTCTATGGCTCCAAAGATCTTAGATCATATCCTAAAACAACACTGAGTAAAATAACGTCAGTATAATAAATACATCAAAAGATTTTCTGTCCCTTTAACATCTTGATTCGATTTAGGGCGGAAGTAATGTTAAGCTGTATTAATTTTAATGCTCTGTGGAACAGCTTATGTTTTCTGGAAAAAAAGCTGGCAACCATTCTGTGTGCTACTGTCCCAGAAACCTATTTTCTGGATTTGGTCCTTGACATGCTCCTTCCAGCAAGCAACATGCGGGCTAAGCAAAAGTTTTTTCTGAGAACCAGCAACAATGGAAACACTTCGGATTTCTAATCATCCTGGTTAAACAGGAGAACAAAGTGCTTTCTGTTTAAGATAGTTTCCCAGTTTTTACTAGATAAACCACAAGGGCTTTGCAGGCACATCCAAAGCATGGATAGACGCATGGACTAGCTATTCAAGTGAAGTACACTCATAAAGGGCATGTAGTCTTATGAAATCAGATGCGCTTCAATGAAATTAGGCTAGGCATTATATTTTTAACTGTGACAGTCAAGTAGGTCAGTTTTTTAACTCATTAACTGTAATAGTTTTGTGGAAACATTGCTGCCTAGCTGTTTTTTCCCCACTGGAGACAAGTGCATGACAGCACAGTATTGCAGTCTAAAGGAAATTCATTGCCGGCTTTTGGCCTCTCAGATACCATGGTGATGAAGGTTACATCTGAGTAATCATCTCATGCTTCCTAATCTTCATGAGACTAAATTAGGACAATAAATAAATGACTAGCTTCAAGGATAGGCTGAGGTGGAGCTTGAGGGACCTATTCATGGGGCCTGTCATGTTTAGAGTACTTTCCCATTCCTTTTATTCACACCGTGCAGCATTGGACCTGTGCCCATCATTAAAAACTAGCATGACTTCTGTAATGCCAGGAGAAGAGGCACAAACTCATGCTATCAAAACCAGGGGGAACTTTTGAAAATAGGTTGAGCAAAGTGGTTAAGAAAACACTTTAGGGCAGGGATATAGCTTTGTGAGGTACCTTTCAGCCTCATTGTTCCTGGAAATAATCAGTTAATTCCAGAGAAGTTGTATGCCCGTCACTAAGAGGCACTGGCATTCATTGCAATAGATCCATTCCTTGGCAATGTTCCCAAGAGAGGAGGACCTGGTGCTAAAGGTGATGCTTTAGTCACTACATGGTTATGTAAAGAAAGAGAGGGAAGTTGCACTGAAGTGTTTTACACTGAAAGACAGTGGAAACTCAAAATCTAGAGAATTTGGAGCGTAGTCTTAAAGCCCCCTGTGATCAGGCGAGTCTGTCCACTGACTTCAGAAATCTCAAGGCCAGGCTTTCATCACACAAAAATGTTATAATTTACTGAAAAATACTATCTTTGACAATAGACATGGTAAAGTTGTTAAGTTACTGTAAAGCTCACGATGAAAATACTGTTAACAGAGAGTCGAAATTCTTCGGTTTACTAAAGTGATCATAAATTTTTAAGCTTTATTTTTCAACAGTAGTGAAAATTATTACTGTTCTTAATTCCTCAAGCCAATCCGTCCGGTCCTATTCTACACACTGTCCAAGCTGCTGCTGAAAGCATCTTAGAATAACAGGCTCCACTGCCACAGACAATGGCATTTTTGTTAGAAGCCAAATTCCTCTATCTATAGTCTGACCTTCCAGACTTCCACACAGCACTTACGTGCTCAGGACTTATCATTGCACACAGAAATAAAAATGTGCAGGACTGTGAGAAAAGAGGTATGAGAAGTGTGATTCACATTAAATAATGAAAACGGGGTTATCATTTAATGAATGCTAAGTGTTTAATGAAGAGCTATTTTAACAAACAGTTGTATTTTTTCTTTCACGTGTCCTGCAGACTACTAGTGGCCTATGGTGTTTAAGTAGTTTAAAAAATGCCTTTCAGTAAAGCAGCAGCTTTTTTACATCCTGCCACAGAGAGAGAAACACTGGTTTGAGTGTCTTGAGCTAGCTGGCTTCTCCCATTGCAACTAAGGTGTTTCATAGAAAAATTATTATCATGTAATACTCTCTAGTTGATGCACGGAAGAGTGAGAAAATGCCCTTCCTAAGTCTGCTTGTCAAACTTTGCCTCTCCCATCTCTCTTCCTAAAAGAATTGACCATAAGAGCAGTCCAGAAAGCTCCAGAGTCTTCAAAGGACTATTCTGCAGGAAATCATGAGATGCTTGGAAAGAGCAGCTGTTCAGCTCCGGACAAAGTGCAGGCTCCTCGGCAGCAGCACAGCAAAGTGCCCCTGCTTGCCTTTATAGAATCATAGAATCATTAAGGCTGGAAAAGACCTCTAAGGTCATCCAGTCCAATCGTCAACCCAACACTGCCGTGACTACTAAACCACGTCCTGAAGTGCAACATCTACATATTTTTTGAATGCCTCCAGGGACAGTGACTCCGCTGCTGCCCTGGGCAGCCTGTTCCAGTGCTCTGGCTTACGTCTGGCCAGAGCTGGTTGCTCGCGGCTGGGGAGGTGTAGGCAGAGGAATGGGGCAATCTCGCTGCTGAAGTCCTGTGGCTGCAAGGAGAGGGTCCCCATCCCTCTGATCTGCCCCCTTGCCCCAGTGGCTCCCAGAGGGGCCTGGGCTGGGTCCTGCACTTGCCCTGACCAGGCTCTGCAGGCAACATCTATCTCCTCTTCAGCAGAGCTGTCCCCAGGGGCTGCCGAGGAGTCACCCAATGTCACTGTGCAGCACGCAGCTAATTAGCCCACAGGAAGCAAATTAGCCTATCATATAGGAAAGAGCATAATCATCGCAAAAAGGCAAAGTTGCTGTTTCTGTTTCCCTAAGAGAATCAATGTCATTTAAAAGGATGTCGTAAAATCTATTTTAAAACACTGCAGGATATGAAACGTGATGCCCTACAATCAAAGCTGTTACTAAACAGACAAAAAAAAAATGTCACCTATTTGTAAATTGCTCTAGATCATAGTGCCTTTGCACTCATTATGGGGTTTATGATTGAATGCTTTTAATAAAAACAGTCTAGATCGTGAGATATTGAGGATAGGTAAGCATCTTAACTTTTGTTGGAAAATAATTTACTTTACGGTTTTGGAGAAGAGCTCAAAGAGAAACTCATTAATGCTTATAGGACCAGAAAGCAAATAAAAGGAACCTGAGAACAGTAAAGTGTGAAATCTAACACAGCCAATTCGTGATTCTCAGCTGTACTATTATTTTCTGAAAAGCTTTAAATGGAGAATTCAGAATAGTATTCCATACTATTATGCCACAGATAAAAACTCCCTTTACCTTCAGATGAAATGCCATGTGCCACGTTCAGTCTAAAGAAAACTGGTCTATGACACCTAGTGGGCAAGATGGAAATTTCTCACCCTGCGCTATGTTCTTCCTAATCGTATTTTGATCCTTTCCTGCCCCCTTTTTTTTTTTCTTGATGTTTTGCCTACCTATTGTGATAAATTTTATGTTAAAATTGCATTAATCTTGTGAATGTTATGTGCCTGAGGGGAGTGCGTGGGACAAAAGGCAGCTGCTTCCTTTCCTACTGCAAATTATTTGAAATCTGATTTACCCTGAACAAATTGTGTCAGGCTGTAAATCCATCGCAGAGCCCCCGTGATATTAGCAGAGTAACAATGCCTGTGGCCAATCTGCATAGCTAGTAGATTTTTTTGCTCAGTGCTCTTTAAAGTAATACTGGGTTTGACTAACCCCCAAATCAAAGTGCATTAATGTCAAATCATTCAGGCGTGTAATGGCTGGCTGAATCTGTCCTGGCAAGCTCTGATACCACCGGAGCTCTCAGCAGCTGCGCCTGACACAACCAATTATCACTGGTATTAATGACTATGCTTGCAGACTTGCTGAGCACCTTGTCAGTCAGGGAGCTACGCTTCTGCCTAACCAGTCCCATCTTCCCTTCCTCCTCAAAACCACCACCTGTGCTGGCTCCCTGGTCTCTGGAAATCGGCATCCCCTTAGGGGATGCCAAGGTGAGTACTTGAACTGGAAGTCCAAATCTCAAGCTGTCAGCAGGCTTAATAGTTAGAAATGAATGCGCCTTTCTGCTTTTTCATTCCCTCCCGTAGCACTGCAGGGAATGAGCTGTGTCTCCAGGACTCCTTCCTGCATGCTCTATACTGACCTGACCTACTCACCTCCCTGTCTCTCATCAGCTGAAGGGACCTCTTAGCTCTGGACCCCATTTTCAGCTCTTAGACTGCAGTTGGAGGAGAGGTGGCCCTAATTTCTCTTAAGGATCCTGCCATTAAGCTCTCATGAATTTGGTACATATGCTACAGATAAAGGTGTGGATCAGTCACCGCCAAATGCCATGAGGATAATCATTACACCGTGCTCCTCTACTCTCCCTTTGCTTAGTAAGTCTGCCTTGTCCTAGCGAGAGCAGCAGTGATGGTGTAGCACTCTGCCTTCATCAACAGCACGGTCCCTTTGTGCCTTAGGACTGAAGGAGGAGTTTCCAAAGGTGCCACCGTTGGTGTTCTCCTGGATCTGAACAAGCACAACCTGACCTTTTACATAAACGGTCAGCAGCAAGGGCCTCCAGCGTTTGAAAACGTTGAGGGTGTCTTCATGCCTGCACTGAGCCTCAACCGAAATGTTCAGGTAAGTCTTCTGCAGTTCAGTCCTGCTTACCCTTCTCATCTAAAGAAGAACATACGCTACTGGCCATTGCTACTGGGGCTGATAACATCATTTGTAGGTGGTCAGTATGGATAAGGGCTCTTTCCTCGTCGAACTGACACCTAACTAACACTTTTTGGTAATCTACATTTGACCTTCTGCCTTGCCTCACAGATGTGAGGAGTAATGCTGTAAAAACAAGTAAAAGTACCTGTGTACACTAATTCTTACCCCTATTTGATGCAACGCTCCACTTGGAAAGCAGTGGTGCTAAAGCTTCCTCTGCCAGTTTAACTAAAAAGATAAGTACCCTAACTCCTCTTAGATCTTTTGTTTGGAGATTAATATTGGCAAGAGACGGAAATGTGAGCAGCGCAGTGGTAAGGGAAGCAAAGACAACATAGGATGGAGAATTAGTGCAACAGAGAAGACCCAGTCAGCACGTCATTCCTGCTCTTTCTGAGTTTTGGAGATTGCTCTCTGTTCTCAAGAGGATCTCTTCTTGGAGGAAGCCTCTTTAAATATAACACATCTTTACTTCAGGACCACTGCATGTGGCTAGAAACAAGATGTATTGTAAGGGAGAACCTACGGAGACAGCCAGGAGCCTGAGAACTGAAGGTCAGCTTAGGTCAGGCAGGACCAATGCAGCCAGCGTGGAGCACTCATCATTTAAAACACCCAAAATGAAACCAAAATCCTTGCATGGCCTTATTAATACAGGATCTTTTAGCATTATTTACTGATGGCGTCCAAATCTTTCAAGAAGATTTCATAGCTTTATTGTATTTGATACACCGACACGGGAGACACAGGCCCTACTCTGGGCACCTCACTGTTATATTCAACACAGATTTTTACACACAAGCTAGCTTCAGTTGTAGCTTCCTACATCCTTTAGGTACCTGACTTACTTTTTTACCACAACTGAGTTAAGGCAGAGAGTATCTGACAAGGGGACGGGGGAAGACTCTGAAACTACCCTAGTGTTTGCTGTTGAATGTTGTTCTGGTACATCTGTGTGGGAACCCTGAGATGCCAGGTTATAGAAGGAGCACTAAAATGTCCTGTGCTCTGTCCTGCCAGGAAAATGAAGATAAAAGGATTTTCCTGTATTTAGTACAGGGGCTTCACAGTGTGATCCCTGTACTGAAGCATTCAGGGTCCTTCACACAGAGACACCATCAGCTTTGCGTCTGGCGAGCAGTGCTGCTGCACACCTACAACTGGAGGCTGGGTTTGAGAAGATGTAGGGACACCTGGCTTCAAGACCGCAAGGTGGTCAGGGAGGAAGAGGGAAGGAGGCTTGTTTATTTCAGGGGCTCAATATCATCTCAATTAGTACTCTTGATGTCTTAAACCTGAAACTGAAGTCCTACAGCCCTTCTTCTGTAATTTACTTGCTCTTGGCCTTCATGAATGCTTTCTGCTGAGGATATCCCCGTTTTGAATCTACATATTATTTTTTCTTTGTGCAGGTGACCCTGCACACGGGACTGGAGGTGCCACAGTGCATAAAGCAGCCCAAGTTGCCCAACAACTGACGAAGCCCCTGCCCAACTGTATGCTGGATTCTGTAAGCTTTCTTGGTGTGATTTGGCACTTTTCAGTAAGTCAGTAAAAAGGCATTCTCTTCCCTGACTTAGAACATTGTATAGCATGTTGCTCACTGAATAATTTGCTGGTTGCAGCTAGCCCACCCCATTATTAATTTAACAGCCATAGCAAGCATACTCACTGAACTGGTACTTGATTGCAGATGAGTACCTGAACATATCTGCACTGAGTTGCTTACATATGTAAACACATGTGCGCACACACACACGTACATTTATAAGGCAAAAGGTTAAATGAGTGTATTTTCTCTCTCATAGCTGGATTTGTGCTGGAAATATGTTAGGAATCCTGAAAAAAATGAAATTAGTTAAGGCTAAGACTGAGGGACAACAGCTGTTGGAGCAATTTACCACTAGGTGAACTGGATTCCCTTGCCACTTGAAGTCCTGAAATCAAGGAAGCATATTTTGACAGCTGAAGTGGAGGCTGTGTGCTAAAGAATTCCTGGTTACCCATTACATTCAGGGGCTCAAATGACCATTTATTACTCCTTCTGGCTCTAGACTGCAGTAAGCTATGGGAAAACATTCTCCTAGAATTCAGTGGCAGAACTTACCTTGTTATCTTCAACGAGAATAAGATTGGATTCCAATCACTGCCATGTAACAGTTGCACTCATTTTAGCTAACAGCATGATACACACAGAATTCAGATAGGAAAAGTAGAGAGAAAAATATCCTTGATGGATTTTAGTGTTTGTTATTTAGGTGTGATTGTGGAGATTATCACGTACAGAAGATCTGGTTGTGGTTATCAGCACAGCTCTTGAAAAACGGTGCAGGGGAGATCCTTTTGAATTGAATCAATAACAGAGGTATTTAAATATAGCACATGCAAGGTATCCCCTGTAGAGAAATGCTGCTTTCCAGCCTTTATCCTGGTAAGCCCTGGGCAGCTGTAGTTCCAATGTAGCTTTCAGATCTGAAGCCTTAATTTTCTATTAGATTAGCATGAGCTAATTAGTGTCTTGATCCCAATGAAGCACTTGAGCAAGAGAGATTCACAGCATTAATGTGAAATCCATTCCTAAGAGTTTTTCTGGATTGAGACATAAATCTTTTGCAAGACTTACCTGTGTCTGGCATCTCCCATGAAAACAAGCAGGCGTTTCAGGTGCTGCCCATGACAACTGGAGTCTGACTGACAGGGAACTGTTCCCACAGCTGTGACACTATCACCTGCGTGCTGTTGTCAGAAAACGCGCTGCTTTTTGTGTGTGCTTCTCTCCCTCTGAACCCAATTAACGTATGCAAGTGTGTGTGTGTAGTAGCAGTAATGTGTAAGGACAAGATGCAGCAGACTGTGTGAGCCCATGAAATCTCAGACTGTCATTCTAATCCTATGTAAGTGTGGTGCTATCAAACAAAAGAAAAAAGTATAAACTTTTAAATCCCATTGATGTACTACTTGATTTTTAAAATCCTGCTGCTTATACAAATTTTCCTTTCCAGGCATACATATACGCACATGCATATTGTTATCAGATGTAATTATTAAACCTGAAAACAAATTTTCTAACCACAATCCAGCTTAATGCCTTGCATTAAACCACAGCCACAGGACAAACAGCCCAGGCCTGCCTTTGGGCAGCCTGCCAGCCCCCAGGCATCCTGCTGCAGGTCCACTTGTGGTCCCTGGCTGGAGCACATCACTCGGGTAGTGCTGAGCGATGGCAGAGCGGCCAGGATCCTCCTCCCTGGAGTTGTTCCACCCTGCAGCCATTTTGGGGAGGCGGAGGCAGCCCAGAACAAAACAGTCCCAGGCAATAGCACAGACAAAAAGCCATCTGCCATCATGCTGCCTGTAACCAGCCAAGCCTCCTGTAGCCCACCTCTCCTGCAGGACAGCAGTGCACCTTCAGCGATGTCAAGACTGAAAAAGGAACTAAAAACGACAGGAAAAATATAATGTAAGCTTTTAAGTGGAAAAGCAACAGTACTTTCTTCAAAATCTGGAATGGATTGTATTAGTAAACTTGTAGACATTGGAATAACTGTGCTACACTCATATTGATTTCTTAAAGAATAACAGAGACCAACTGTGTTATAATTTTCAGTTTTGTTTAATACTATATGAACTCATGCAGGATTTTCTAATTAGCGGGTCTGTTTTAACCTACCTCAGCTAGAACGCTACTGGACCCTGAATTTCCTCTTGAGTGTGCTCTTCTATGAACCTAACCGTTGTAATCACAGCATTGGCTTTGAGTATTGTCAGTCAGAGTAGCGTATGGGAATACTGTACATAAGTTGCACATAGTTTTTTTATATTGGGAAACATCTCATGATAATTTTAATACAGAAGGCACTCCACTTGTTGTACTAAAAACAAAAGGGCGTTGTTTGTTTTGGGACTGAACCTTTGTCTTTACTCCCAGCTTCTGTGAAGGAAACCCAAATGAGTTTACATCTTCCCAATCTTCAACCATTGCCAGATGTTCAAAATTAACTATGAATGGCTTTTAAAAGTGTTTGCAGTACTTGGTTCTAATTGTCATAGTTGTTTTGTTATTGGTTCCTGGTGTGTTATATCTTGGGGAGAACACAATGAGTGATACAGGTTACTAATTGAAATATGGACAGTAGGTAGGGACGTGCTTCAGAGCTGTAGAAAAGCTCGTTTGTTATCCTCTACACATTCTAGCATTCATGAGAGTAGGGTACCATTTCAGACTCCTTTTAACCTAGCGGAGGTGCAAGTTAAGTAAAAGGAATGCAGTTAAAAATAGGTAACCCGCATTAGTAGGACTAATTTAGCCTCAGTCAAAAACTAAACAGAGTGGTTTATGTGTTGATTGCGTACACATTCAAGGACTTGGGTTTGGCATGGCCCATAGCAATAAACCAATTACCCCAATAGCGTGTAGTCTCATGACTTCAGCTGGATACATTTTGGTAGTTTGATTAACAGAACTAATGCTTAAGCAGTTAGAATTACACTAGGCAACTAATTGCTCCTCACATTAATATTTATGCAGAGCAGACTTTTCCCTTTGCAGAACAGCATGAGGCAGCAAGAAGTGGGGCACCTGCAACTCCCCACTCAGGCTGGGAGTAGTTTGCTTTTCTGCTGGTAACTCCGCCAAGGTCCTTCTTGCTATATATGCATCAGTTTGCATGTTCGTCATCTACAGCAACTCTTACACCAGTTTTTCCGTCCTTCAAATCCCTTCTTTAGGAGGGAGTCAGATTTTAGGACTATGGTCCTTGGAGAAACTGTCAAGGGAGAACCCAAGGGGCTGAAGAGCAGCACAAATACTCCAGGGGACCACTTTGGATGCTCTCATTTCCTTTTGGTTCCTTGGGGTATTTGTAGCGCTCGCTGGGACTTGAAGTTCCTCCAACACCTGGACCCACACAGAGCTGCCTTTCACAGAACTTTTTTGTTCCTAGCAGCCAGGCTGCTCCTTAAAAGTAGGAGAGCAGAGCCTTCTGCACGGGGATGAATCCCATCCTCTCCAGTACAGAGTCCCTGCAAGGTAGCTGTGAATTGACTTAACGTAAAACAAAAAAAATCCAAACAAACAAACAAAAAAACCCCAACCACAAACCACAAACAAACAACCCCTCCTCTAATAAATACAACAAAGCTTGACATCTGCATACATCACTTTGGAACCTCTGCACAGCTGCTGAATAAATACAGCGGGCAAACGTTCTGTCCTGCAGAGCAACAAGGGACTCCTAGTTTTCACCCACCCCTGTGAACTCCAGCCTGAGTCTTTGTGAACCTGCTTCCTGGCTCTTTCCTCTGCAAATTTCCCTGTTTGGTGGGAACAAACAGAACTGTGCCATCAGGAGCACTGTCAGACTTCTTAAGGCATGCAATACTACACAGTTTCCACTCTCTTCCCTCATCAACTCAAAAAGAGCTCACGAGAAGATCTCTTGCAAAGACTTAATGTCAGTATGAGCACAGGCCTAGCTGACAATCCCTTACTACTTCTGCTGTGAAAAGGTATGTGCTATTAAATATCAGTGAGGACAGTAACATACTGTGATGTATCATGAATTTGGAAAGCAATTTGGCTGCTAAAAACATAGAAAAGATAGGCAAACAGCATCTTCACCTCCTATACTTGCCTATTCAGTTAAGATATATAGAGGAAAGTACATTGAACTGAACAAAATAAATAAAAATCACATGAGCTTACATATATCAGAGTTTAAGAGGAAAAGTATTAAATGTAATTTATTATATGCCTAATGTTTCACCATGTTGTAAATAATGCCATGATAGTGTATTGCTGTAGTTTGTTCTTGGCTAGTGATAGAGTTCTGACATTGTGCTGTGTAAGCTTTGATTTTTATTTTGTGGGGTTTTTGTTCCAAAGTGTAGTTAGTAAAGATGACAGAGAACACCCAATAACTCTGGTTTCTGAGTTGTTCTAGAGCAAGAAGAAATATGTGATGCAGCTTTTTTCTCTTTCTTACATAATAATATTTCTTAAACAAGGTAAGAGAGAGGTGAGATCAAGGATAAGCTGCCACTACCACTGTATGAAAAACACCATGTTTGTGGCTGCCAACAAGAGGTTGTGCATTTTTGGACCACAGTTCAGATTACCGATTCCTGTGAGAAGGGATGCAGAGTACCGACAACCTGGTACCATTGAGTACATCCTTTGCTCGCAAGCAGAAAGATGAGGAGAGAGAGTTGTTAGACCTAATCTCAGGCCTTACCAGCTTTGCAGCATCCTGCTTAAATAGCAAAATCAAGAATTCCACTTTGAACCAGGCCAGATAATATGAAACCCCCAAGCATCTTGGCTAGATCAACTTTGGAAGGGAGATTATGGTTTCAAGTCCTTCAACAGGTTATGGTAACAAACCAACCACGTTGCAAATGTAAAGGGCACTTGTCACAGAAAATTACCAAACAGATGGAGAGTCTTTTTAAAAAATCATTATTATTTTGTATTTTTCTT